AAACATTATGATTTCATGCCGGCGGTGAGTCTTATGTGGCATCTTTTTTTTTTGGTGAATTCTTTCGTCCTTCTCTCTTTTTAGCTGTCAGCACTCTCTTAATTGCTTATGAAGGCTTCGTTAATGGTTTAAATCAACCATATGAATGTATTTCTGCTGATTTATTGAGTCTTATTTAGTTTCAGGAAATAAAAAGTGTGTGCCAAAGGTGGGAATAGTTGGCTGAGGACAGCAGTGCAAATCTCTCCTGGTTCAGTACTGTGCTGAAGAAGAAGAAAAAACATAGTATTTCACACTCTCACACTACATGTTTTGCAGCTTAATAACTGATGTGTTTTGAGATCTGGGCACTTTTAATGGAATATTGTGGGTTATTTACAGCTCATTGTCTATGAAGAGCATGTGTGGAATGTTGCCGATCACATAGAACATTAACTTTGACCTGTTCCTCAGTCTGTAACAAAGAGAAAACATGCTTTTAGTCTGTTTATATATGCATTTTGAATGGAAGCGTAGCAGGCAAATGGGCCAGAGGGTTTGAAAACAGAAATGTGAAGCTGGAATTTTCTGAAAAGGATAATTTTCCCAAACATAAAAATTGAGACTGAGTTACTGTCACTGATGTTGTTCTAAACACTGTGATTTTCTTTCTTCTGTAGACCAGAAAAGCAGATGTTCACGTTGCTCTTTTCCATAATGTGAAAGTGAATATGGATTGTCTAGCTCCAAAAAGGACCATAGAAGCTAGCTCCAAAAATAGGCCATATTGTACAATAGTTCTGTGTGAGGAGAATATCCTAATTTAAGTATTCAGGGAAAATCGTACCCTCGGCCACTCTCAAATTAGTGTGATTGGAACATTTGCATATTCAAAATCATTATATGACACATGATAACCTTTCATTGATGTCAAAGCTCATGCAAGATGTCTTGATGCACCATAGTTGACTACATGAATGTAAATGAGATTTCAAGTGTTATTTTAGAATTATTTTTACATAGTTAATATTTTGAATTAGCTATTATTTTTTATTTTTAGTTTTAATAATTTTGTGCTTTTTAAAAAAAAATATATTTCTGAAAAGCAACATCTCTATTTTTTATTTTATTTTATTTATAAAATGAAATGAAATGAAGACTATTTTTAATGGGGTTAGTTAATGATAATAACACTGGATTTGCTGCAATTAACAAATACAATGTTTATATATTCCACACACAAAAAACTATGAATTCAGAAGACATACACATTTATGATGCTTGTCATTTTGGGAGCTTGACAGCCACTGGTCACCATTCACTTTCACTATATGGACTCTGCTAAACATCTACTTTTGTCTTGCACAGCTTTTTTTTTTTTTGCATTTATGTAATGACACGAGGGTGATTAAATGATGACCCAAAGATACATGTTTGTATATATACTCGGAGAATTAAAATTGTTGTCTATGGTAATTGACAGGTTATAAATATCCCACAATATTCCATTAACAGACAAAATCTGAATATTCATGATTATTTGCAATCTGTCATGAAAATATATCTAATATGCATGCATGCACCCCCCCCCCCCCACCCCATCCAGA